GCGATGCAGCTGCAAGTTTCCTTGGTGCTGCGCGGTCAGGTGCAAGCAGTGTCGGCACCTCGTGGAGATGCACAACTGCCGTTGAGGAGGAGTGTGTCAGGCTGGCAAGGAGGCTGCCAGGAGACTGTGAGGCCACAAGGAGAGGACAACCCAGGGTGGAGACGCAGGGAAGAAGGGGAAGGGATGGGAGGGGCACACAACCTGAGAGGGAGCGGAGGGGACGTGGGGTTTTGCTACCCTGATGGAGAGCGACCCCTGGCTCCAGAGGTGCCATCGGCTCCTATGTGCTTCCTGCACAGAACCCTCTTGCCAGGCTCATCGGGTTTTTTGCAGTTTGAATTATTTTTCTGGGTGGAAGGCTGGAGGACAGAGGCCCAATAAACCCTTAAACTTTGGAAATAAACCAGCTGCAATGGAAAGCAAAGTGCATACATCAGCTCCTCCCTCATGTGCTGCATTTGGGACCTGGAGGGTACTTGGATCTGATCCCTCCCGTGGGCTGGGAGGGGACAAGGACATGCTGGAGTTCTCGTGCTCAGGGGACACATGGGCTGCAGTGAGTGAGAAGCACCAGGAAGCAGAGCAGGGGGCAGTGAGGACCCACCTCAGATATGAGAGGGGTCATGGAGGGGTGTGGTAGAGTGGCAGCAGGAGCAAAGAGAAGGGAACTAGGGTTGTGGGGCAAATGGGCTCTTTAAACAACACGAATCATCCTTGGGAGAACTATTGACTAGCATAGGCCTTCGGAGAGAGGGAGGCAAGAGATGGCTGAGGATTTCGAACAAGGACACTCGGACCGGTGGCTCTAAAGCCAGGTTCCCAGGGCTGATGCCTTCTCCAATGCTCAGCTGCTCCTTTGGCTGCACAAAACGTTTTCAGGAGGAGTTCTAGAAGGTGTCACAGTGAAGGTGTGAGTGTTGAGTGAGGCTCCCCTCATGGTGTGCTGCTGCCACCAGTGCCAAACAGGTGTTTGGAGGGTGAGATCTAGCCATGATGAGCTGACTGGCCAGCAAGAGGCCTGGGAAGAAATGTCCAAGTCTATCCAGGCTCTCTGCCCCACCACAGCCCCAGAGATCCTCCTGTGGAGTCCTGCGCTTCCTGTGCATTCCCCTGCCACTGTGCGTCATCCCTTGGTGAGGCTGAGGAACCTCTGGTGCCACAGCTGCACCTTCTCCTCTCCCTCCTTCTCACTCAGCACCTGGTATGTCTCATTTCTGTAGCAGCCACGTCGAGTCACCTGCAAGGAGAGTCTGAGTTCATAGGACTGATACCACTGCCCATCTTTCCCCCAAGGGCTCCCATGATGGATGGCATCTGGAGGCTGGGATGGTGGGGGCACCAGAGGGAAGAGGAAAGAACCAACTGAGAAGCGGGAGGGAAAGGCTGATAGCTGAACTGTGTGTTATCTAAGATACAGGCTAGTCCTCTGTCCTGCTCTGGTGGTTTTGTTTTTTGTTACCACCTAGGAAGCACCCAGCAAATGTGGGAGACTCTCCCCTGCAGGGATACTCCACAAGTGGGAGGCTCCCTGCAGCTCCTTTGTCTCAACATAAGTGACTGTCTCTGATGCCATCTCTCACAGCGTTTGTGCAAATCACACTGCCCCAATTACATGTCGGCTGCGCTTGGGTCGCTCTTTGTCACTGTCCCTCAACTGCACCCAATTCTGTCCTACTGGAGGCAAAAACAGCAGGCCAGTGAGACCTGCAGGGACTCAAGGCTGTCTGTGGAGGTACCAGCCATGAAGGAGAAGGCTGTGTATAGGGCAGTACAGACTGTTTCTCACCCTCTGATTGTAGAGGCTCTGCTGGAGACACTGGTGGCTTTTGAACGCGCAGTAGCTGGGGTGCTGAAGTCCGCTTGAGTCACAGATCTGGGGAGAAGGGAATGAAGGCTGGAGAAATAAGAGGAGAAGGTGGGATGGGAGCATTCACTGTGTACCCACCTGGCTTGGGACATCTCCATCTTGGAAGGCCATATACTCTATTTTCAGCCAGAGAGTCACACGAGAGTCCTCACAGCCATGGATGGCTATCTGGCTGCACCAGTATTCCACCCTCAGCCTTCTGAGAACCTCCATGCCATAGAACTCTGAGGTACCTGAGAAGCTGGTCTGCAAAGGCATGCAGATAAAGAGAACTATGAATCTCCCTTCCCTTCTGCACCACCCAGTCCAGCCTCCTCCTGAGAGGCCACCAGAACACGCAACACATTTAGTACCTTGTTGACCACAGCCTGGTACTGGGCTGAGATCTGAGGGTTGATGTAGGTGGTGAAGGTTCCCATCCCACAGTGAACGCGGTTCAGTTTTTGGATGTTCTGACACTGCTCCCTCTTCAGCGAGCAGAAGGCGCAGTCAGGACATATGTCCATGTGACGCCGCCCAAGGCTGTCACAGACCTAGAGTAGATGCAGTGGGGAAGAAAGGGGTTGAAAAGGAGACTGAGGAGCTCCCATATCCCTGACTTAGAGCTTGCCTCCCTGGTCACCCAGGTCAGCTTCTCCCAGGAGGCGGTGCCTGAAAGGACACTCTGTCTGCCAGCATTGTGGTCAACATTGCAGGGAGACCCGCACACAGTGGGGATGAAAGGTGGGCATCAGCATTTTTACCGAATCTCCGAACCCAAAGAGGTTTTCTTCCATCTCCTTCCAGGCCTGGGTGAACACTGATGAGAGACAGTTTCCCTCCAGGACTGCATAGCACAGGATCATCACTGCCTCATCCTTCTCCAGGGCTAAAAGGCTGACAGAGAAAGGGACGGAAGAAGTCAAGTGTCATCTCTCACCACAAGCTGAAGAGATAGATCTTTAGCTAAAAACTGAGAGCCGCGGAAAAAAACCCTAAAGCATAGCAAGAAAAAACCCTTCCCTGAAAAACCTTGGACTCTTGGCCAAAGTGTGCAGGTGGACGAGGGTGTCTGCAGGGTGTATACCTGCCTGTGCATCACAGAGGCTATAGGCGTGTGTATGTGCATGCCTTTGGGAGCACATGGTGGGGACTGGGCAAGGAGCACAGCTTGAGGAACTTTCCCAAAGGTCCTGCAGCAGCTGTTGCCTGGTTTTGTCTATCTGAGGGCACAGCAAGGAGAAGTTTCTTTCTTAGAGGTTTGCCGCCTGTTGAGCATGGGGCAGCCCTATTCGGGTGTGGAGTATGTAGTGTATTAAGCCTCTCTCCTGATTGAGCCAATATATTAGACAGAAGGGAGAAAAAAATTGGTTACAATGACTTAACTGTTTATCCAAACTGACATGGGAAGCTAAAGGTAGAAAATGTAAGGACAGTGGGATAAGGACAATAATAATATTTTGCATCTCTCAAGGAACAGTAGAAATTGTAGACAAGGTGCAGAACTGTTATTAGACAGGGATGGTGGCAATGATCAGTAAAGATGCAGAAGAGATAAAAATGCTCGTTATATCTTTGTCGTCTATGCCTGAAAACAAAGCCAGCAATAAATAAACATTCATCTGGCAGAAAATAAGAAAATAAGAGCCACAACTGCTTATGTTAAAATGCTCTTAAAACCTATGCAAAGGGTAACCTGTAATGAAACGTTTTCCTAAGAGTAATTGAGACTTGAAGACCTTCAGATTAGCATTAAAAAAATTAAAAGAGGTGGAGAACCCGGAGAAAGGTTATGAAGATGAGATTTGGGCGACCCCTTGAAAGCTTTTACCTAGAGCAAGAAGCTAGAAAACCTTTACTCAGCTGAGAAAAGATACTTGTGGGTGGCCATTGGGTCTGTCTGTACTTTTTGCAAGATGGGGGTCAGCTAGAAGGATCTTTTCATCAGCAGAAGGAAAAGTAATGATTTTTGGTGACTGGAATTTGGGGTGAGATCCATTCAAACCAGAAATTAGCTGCGTGATCTTGACATGAAGGCTATTTAGTGTGGGAGCAGATGATGGGTTGCTTTCTCTCCAGCTTGGACACTTCAGGAAGATATTCCAAATTTCTCTTAGGAGACGGGTCCATAGCTGAGCCATACAATACTGTTTTTCCTTCTGTGCTCACTAGACATGGCTCCATGTCCTGTGCTGAGCAGGAAAGTGATTGATCAGAGCAATTGCCAGGCCTGAGGACTAAGAGAGATCAATGTTCCTGCCCTTAAGCTCTTGTGATTATGTGTTACGTGAAGAAACCAAGCTGTAAGGAGTGATTGGTGTTTGCAAACCCACGGACGCATGAGAGGCATACATCATCTGCACAGGAACGTGTGGACACTTGGCAGTTGCACTGAGTTTGGGTGTGCACTCACATAGGATAACATGGGTGAGTATTAGGGCTACTAAGAGGAAGAAGTTTTGTACTTCTTAACAGATCCCTGGTCCCTGGAATGCAACGTGGATAAAGGAGCTCACAGCGTATGCTCTGCACTTGCAGCCAGTCAGAAACAATCAATCAATCCCATTCCCAAGCATTTCACTCTAACCAGCAGCAAATGAGCACCTCAGGATCTCTGAAGGCATCTCTCTCACTTAGGTACTGCAGGACAACTTGGAAAATCCTAGTCACAGAAAATATAATGAGTGCTAGATTATAATTTTTTTAAAGACATTACAGTCAGACTTGTTTTATCACAGTGCAGCAGATGCTGCTCTAGCAAAGTGGAGAGGTTCCTTCTACACATTGTGCTGTACTGCGCTGTGGACAGGCTGCAGATGGTGTTCTGTGGATACAGACTAGTGAGCAAATTACTGTGCTGACCCACAGCACATCAACCACACCCTCTGAAAAACTGAGGATGGCTGAAAACCTGGGAAGCTACATGTTGCAAGCCTGTATATCTCTCACTGCGATGCACCACAGGGTGACCAACCTGATCAGAGGTTTGTGGGGGTAGGTCTCAGTTCAGAGAGTACAAAAGAACGCAAACTGAGGACAGCAGTGACGGATACTGGCTCTTTCAGGCAAAGCTGGGAAGAATTAAAAAATAGAGAAACAAAGCCCACCTATCCTGCAGAGAGCACTTCCAGAACCTGTAATATCCCTTATGTCTACTCCTCCATCCCATGGCTCCACATGGTTCTTTTTATTTTTGGTTAGGGTTTGGTGGTTTTTTTTTTTGTTTCCTCTGTGAACATTCAGACAAGAAGAACGGGAAATTTTAAATTTAGAACAAAAGATCTGTATTCATCCCACTTGAAAATCTAGTCTGATGTTGTTCAGTTCAACCCTCTCAGCACTTCCCTGTGACTGGGAGCTGGACATTGCCAACAGAAAAACCAGTGACAGCCCCCAAGGCACACCTAGCATTTCTCTTCTGTAAAGGATTGCTCTTTGTGTGGGGATTACCTATCACTGACAATTTCTCCCTTAAGCAGTTGTAGCCCAGCAGAACAAGTGTTCAGTCCACTTTGCTGATAAATTAGTGACAGCTGAAGGGAGTCCCTGCTACCACTCAGATGCTTGACTGCTTAGGGAGATTTTGGATTCAGGATTTGTTACACCAGCTGGGTCATCTTGATGTGACTCACAGATTTCAATTACTGACCCCGATATTATTCTCCAAACTTTCCTGAAAGAATTTATCCACAAATATGTCATTATTGGCTCTTGTTCCAGTGCTTGCTGCTTATTGCAGTGGCACGCTGTGATTTGATTGCTTCTTCATCACATCAGGATGATCAAGCCAGTAAAGTGAGAGGCACATTAACAGTCATTAAAAATTGTATGAATAGCTCTTGGTGTTTTCATCACTGTCCAGCTTGCTGTACTTTTTTAAAAATAGCAAATAATTAACAACCTGAGGCTTAGAAAGCAATTGCTAATAAATGATTTTAACAGCCTTTGCTTTCTCCAGTGCACATACTGGTCCAACAAGTGCAGCCTGAGCAAGATGAAAATAGACGATTCCATGCAAAAGGGGCAGTAAAAGGGAACTCGTCTCCAGTCTTTTCTAAAAAAAGTGCTTCCGTAAGTAGCTCATAAGTAGCGACAAAACATCTGCTGAGTGTTGATGACCTACTTGTTCAGAACAGACACAAAGTCAGACATGAGTAGGAGCTTCTGCTGCACAGGAAACTTTAGATTTATGGACCGTGTTCATTAAGATTGGCTTGCACAGACCAGAAATCCTCGTGTCCCTGCTCACCACCTACCCTCACTTTGCTGTTGGCCACGTATGCACATGAACTGCATCCAGAGCATCTGCTCACCCACCCAAGACACTAAGTTTTGCCATCAGCCTGAAGTTACCAAGAAATTATGTTGCCCTCTCTGTGACCTTCCATTTCCTCCTCTATCTCTGTTCTCCATCTGTCCTGTGATGCTTTCTGGCCTCAGATTCAGATTCTGGTTGCAGATCTATGAGTTGGTTTACTGCCTCTGGGTGAGTGAGATCCATCCACCCCACCCCCAGGCAAAGCAGCTGAGAGGTGTCAGGGGAAGGGGTCCCACGCAGCGTCACTGGTCCCTGGGACGCATCCTGGGGTCCTGCAGTCCATGGAGCCATGGTGTTAGGTGCACCTGGGGCTGTCCCCGGTTCCTCTTCTGGTGATGCCCAGCACCCCAGCACTGCTCTTTGGTGCATCCAGCTGCTCTCCCACCACTGCTGCCTCGTGGCAGAGCTGGGACTTTGGATCCCATCACAGAGGCAAGGAGTGTGGACCCAGCAGGGTGTAACAGGACTGCTGCTGGTCCCCTACGCTCCTTGACACGCTGCTGAGCTCTTTGTGGATGCGCAGAAGCTTCGCCATGCATCAGGGGAAGCGATAGGTCTGTCTAAAGAGTTTTTCTAATGCAAATTCTTCCCTAGCTTAGTACCTCTGCACACTAATATCCCAACCGCTGCCCTGGGAAAAGCCTAACGGGTACTGGGAGGCAACGTTTCAAAGGGAATGTGAAAAAATGGAATAGAGAAGAATCTATGGGTCAAGATCAGTAATTGCTCATCGGGAAAAAGAAAAAACTTCAGACAAAAGCCTGTCTTGCTTTAGCATCTCCAGACATGGAGCTACACACATGGAGCCTACTTCAGCAATATCTCTGCAGAGTGCTGTTTAACAGCATCTACCTCTTCCTCAAAGTAATGACACAGATTTGGGCCATTAACTTTCAGCTGCTGACCCTCCCTGATACTGGCTGGCTGTGTGAGGTGGAGTGAATACCTGAGGCAAGCAGAAAAGAAGATAAGGAGCAAACAGCAGCTTTCCAGCACTTTGTAACTTCTGATTTAGTGGGGTTGCTGCAGGAAACTAAAGCCACTAAGGAAAAAGCCATTCTTTACAGCTTCAGATAGAAACAAACAATCTTGGCCTGCATGCCAAGAAGGCAGGCAGGCTGGCAAGGTACCTGACAAATCAAATCCAGTGGATAACACGATGCAGGAGCTACTGGGAGAATGGGAACATAACACCTGACCAAGGTCTTGAGGGCTACAGACGGTGGGAAAAACTGTATTTTGTACATACACCTCTCCTGCTGACCCGCATGGTATTACATCTTTTTACCTCTGCCACCCTGGGACGTTGAGGGTAAAAAAAGGTAGTTGCAAATGGCTGATGATAACTCAAAAACAGTGTCGGGTTTTTTTCTGGGAATGGTGTTTTTAACGAAAGGTCTGGTCTTAAAGCTCCTGGGTATGAAATACGTAAGCACCACAAGGATTGTTCACAAGAGGGGAAAAGCAGGAGGAGGAGGGTGCAGTCTCCAGGAGGGCTCGACTCAGCCTTGCTGGGGAAGCTGGGCTCATCTAAATCAGGACTGAGTGTCCACATGCAAATGCCAGCAGGATGAGGCCTGTATCCAGGACAGCTGTGATGCTGAGGGGGATGTAGGGGTTGCAGCGGACAAAAATGCAACAGTGGGAAGCCCTGGGAAAAAGGGCAAATGCAATTTCTGTGTGCAAACAGAGGAGCAGGGACAAGGAAGGGAGGATGACCTCCTTCTGCATACCCAGCTGCTGAAACTCATCACTGGATAGTGCATGCAGAGTTGGAGCGTGTGGATGTTTTAAAGGGACATTGAAAAATTGCTGCAGAAAATGAGAGTTGTGCGGGCTTTACGGTGTAAGAGCTACAGAGCTCTTCTTAGCTTATTGCAAGACCTAATCATGGTATATAGGTAACTTTGAGGAGAGGAAATACTGGAAAATAAATAGGTCTTCAATCATGGGACAGAAAGTGCAATAAGGACTAAAACCCAAAAATAAGTGCAGTAAGAGACATTTTTGCCACCCCATAATGATTCACTGCTAGCAGAAAGACCACAAAAGCAGGCTGCAAATTCTTCACCTTGTTACGTCACTACCTTTGCCTTGTCTCTCTTTAAAGGTCACAGCTAGCTTCATCAGGGACTATCGAAAGCTGCTAGAGCGACCAGAGCAGCTGCCACAAGCAGGGCTGAGCGAGAAAGGACAGATGTCCCACTGGACTTAAGACCTTACGTAACAGACACAGCCCTGCGTTCGCCACCCATCGCAACTGTGCGCACCTCATGTTAAAGTAGAAAGGCACCTGCGCTCACCCACCAGTCCGACCCAGCACTGCCCCTCTTGCTGGAATGGAAATGCCTCAGAGTGTTTTGCCCTGTTTTTTTAGGTCATGCTTTGAAGTCCCTTTGAGAGGAAGCGGGATGTGGCGAGCAGCAAAGCCGACAGGAGCAGTCTATCTCGTCTTTTTATCCTCACTTGAGTTTAAGCTTTGCTTAGCATGATTGATGGGACTCGGCTGCCAGGTTACAGACACACAGTCAGCATTAGTGTCTTTGAGAAACTCCGCAGCAGAATTGCGAATGTCATCTGCAATCACAGCAGTCCCTCAATAATCCCAATATAAGTAAATCAGAGCAAGGCTCAATTTCAGAGGCAGGGAAAATGAACATATCCTCAATGAAACAGAATTTTGCCTTAGAGTACATGCACCAAGAAAAATTTGACAGGCAATAAAAGCCTTCTACAATTTTAGGAAGGAGGATGACATAAGTTACAGCCTTGCAAGAGAACAGTTACAGCTTTAAGAACATGATGCAATTCATTTTTACATGCAGAAGTGGAATCTCTGGCTCAACGGTAGTAATACGCAGTTTTTAATAGAAACCACAGATGTTCAATCACGCACAAAACCTGTGCACTTACAGTAACATCACTAGCCAGCAGCAAAACGAAACCAGAAGGACTTCTCCATGAAAACCACATCTAAACAGAGTATTTTTTTGCTTTTGGCAAACAAAATAATCTTTGCATTTCAGTCAAAGCAAGCGGTCCTCAGCTGCAGAGTACTGAAGGATCAAAAAGCAAATTTGAGTGGAGATATAGGATCCTTTTGTAGGTCTTTTCTGTTCAGGCTCACCAGTCACAGCTGCCTGAGGATGGAGACAAATGGATCCTGGCAGATCAGCTGTGGAAAACTCAAGATGCCCAACAAGCTCCTAAAGCATCCCTAGGCCAGAGGGACTGAGAAGGGAGTGTGAAAAGATTGCGGCAAGCTGGGCTGTCACAGGGCCCTGCGCTGAACTGGCATGCAGCTGCTTTCAAAGACAGAATGGGGAACCCAAACCCTCTGCCGGAGAGCAGAGCTGCATGTGACTGAGGAGAAGTAGTGGGTAGTAGTCCTGCGCAGCCAGGAGCTAGGCTCTGATTTCTTGGCTCCATTTCCTACCCTGGGGCTGCTTTTGCTCTACCTAGGTGAGGACGGAGCTCTCCTTGGAGCGCTCCTCGGGTCGGACTGGTTTAAGAAACGTCTGCATCGTGTTGCACGCAAGGTGTTGAGGAGCACAGTGAGACATATATTTACTCCAGCATCCCAGGGATTCGTGTCTGCAAGGAAGTTGTTTCTGCAGGTCATCTAGACTCTCTGAAGACCTGGGCTGGGAGGAGGATGAGTGCAGAGGTGATTGCACACTGCAGATGGCCACAGCGTGGGAATACACGTGCGTGGGATAAAGCCTTGCCTGCAGCTAAGGCCTGGCCTAAATGCACGTTGCTTGGGATGCAAGGACAAGTAACACTGTCGGAAACCAGCAGTGCTGGGTCACCCTCTCCCAGCTCACGCTCTGCAGATGAATCCCTGGGTGCATTCCTGTTTTCTATGGGAAGACTTGCTCCTGAAAGCCTGCCTGGACTCGCCAGCCTCTCAGG